GTTGTGGCAGCCGCGCGCCCCGCAGCCCATGGGTTGCTGCTGCTGCTGTTGCTGTTGTTGTTGTTGTTGTTGTGGTGGTGTCTGCTGCTGGGGAGCCACCTGCTGCTGCTGCTGCGTTTGTTGAAAAGTAACAAGGTTACCCGACATAACAGGAGCGCCTCCGCAGGAAGGACCGCTATTGCTATAGGAGGTGCAGTCGCCGCGTGCCGTGCTATGAGTAAGTGCTGGACTGGGGCTGGGTGCGGGTCCAGGGGTGTGAGTGGGCACGGCTGGAGGAAGAGCTGCTTGTATGTGCCCAGTAGAGGGAGCCGCTCCTGTCGCTGCTGCGGCGGCTGCTGCTACAGTAGGAACAGCCGAAGCGGGAGCAGAAGGCAGGTTGAAGGCTGAGGGCAAGGCAGACGGTAAAACGGGGTGTTTGGTGTGCGTCACCTCCGCAGGTGGCAGGGCGGAGCATCCACCCGTGCTCATGGTGGCCAAGTCTTGGCAAGTAAGAGACTGTTGAAGAGGAGGAGGGAAGGACGCGGCACCGGGAGTCATGGCGCTCATGGCTCGTACTGTGGCCTGTTGTGGAACCTGTGGGACCGCGGGAGTAGAACCGCTCCCTGAGGCTCCATCACTACCGCCTTGGCTGTGAGACAGAGCGGTTTTAAATCTTTGAACAAGAGGCTGCACGGCGATGCTGCCTGCAGGGTGGAGCCCCAAAGGCGGAATCCCAAAGGTCGGAAGCATGTCTCTCTTTTCTGGTTCTCCCACGATTACAGGGCTGGGAATGGCTGGGGGCACGAGGGGCATCTGCATCATCATCCCAGCGGAGTGCTTTCCATCGGGAATGGTGCTTTGGACGGGGGGAGGAGCCAGAAGAAGTTGGGAGTCAGGTGTGCCGTTGGGAAGCATGTAAGGCAGAGAATGCATGAAGGAAAGATGAGGGAAGTCTGAGGTGTTCTCTGGGCAGACGGGCTCTATCCGAGGGTGGTGGTTGTTGGAAGACAGAGAATGGACAGAGGACATGTCCGCCACCACGGCCGCATGAGTCTCGTTTGTGAAGAACATTTCAGAACCAGGATCTTTGCAGGAATCATCAGAGTGGCTGTCTGTATCTGACAAAGTTCGGGGGTTAGACACGACAGCATATTGCAATAGAAGAAGAAAAAGTTTGTTTGTTTGTTTGTTTACCTTTGTTGTTGTCATCCTCACTGTCAAGGCTTTGTGGTCCTCTGTGCTGTGGGCTGGACGGAGAGCTAGAGCTCTCTGATGATGTTTCACAGAAGGTATCTGGACCTGAACCTCCATCTGCAACAACATCTGCATTAAACCTCGCGCCGGGTTAGCACTTTTTCATAAGATGTGGACTTGTATGCGGAGACGAAGAAATGCTGCTCAGGTTCGCTTTATCTCTTAGCTCTACTGCGTTCCAGATGTTTGCTTGGAAAGCCCTACCATCTGGAATTTCTCAGCCGGCTGGTTGGAAATCACTCCCAGATGATTTGGTTTATACGCTTTCCTCAATTATAACAAGCGTGGACACTCACCTTCCCTCTGAGCTGACAGACTACCGTTGAGGACGGATCCCTTGCCCTTTGCGCCGTCCCTGGGTCAAGGTAGAAGTGAGATTTCATCAACAGAGGAAAGCGTAAATTGTGGATATTAGACATGCAATAAAAAAAGTAGAATGAAAACGATGAAACAATCTAAAAAAAAAAAAAAGACATGCTAATGTTGCGGTACCTGTCTGAGGGAAGTAATCTGCCCTTGGTCTTGGCGACAGGGTGACCTCTGTTTTCTGTGTCTGCGTGCTGTAAAACAAGACACTGAATTAAGTGAGCAGTCGTCGGCGTAAAGTGATATCCAAGGTATAAAATGGCTAACGAAAATTGTGTCTAAATATTTTTTGGGATGCAATTCAGATATAGTACGTGCTGTGTGACCTAATAAGGATTAGTGATAGGAAATTATTTAAATTTGAGTTGTGATTAATCGTTAAATTAGTTATGAATGTTCAAACTGCAAAAATCAATTGCTGTGTGACCTAATAAGGATTAGTGATGGGAAATTATTTAAATTTGAGTTGCGATTAATCGTTAAATTAGTTTAATTACTTTATTACTTTACTTTTTAAATTACTTTAAAAAGTCACAAGAGGATTCTGTACTTTTATTTCAAAAGTACCATCATGTGAACAAAGGTAATACACAACTACAGATGGCTTGATCCGATATTTAGGATTGGTATCGACTTGATATTGAACAACATTGAAATACTACTACTACTATAGGATCGAACATTGAAATACTAGTACTGTAAGGTCTGATACCTAAACGGAAATGATCAACACAACGTTGCACTACATGCTGTAAAAAAAAAAAAACAGGGACACTATCGCCTCAGCAACAGCAGACCACGGCATGCTGGAGGAGAACCGGAGGTATCAGATTGATATCGTTATCAGCAGATACTCCAAGTTGCAGTATCGGTTTTAGACATGAAAAAGTTGTATTGAGCCCTTCCTAGCTGAAAGAGAAACGTTTGGTTTCTAGGATAGCAGTGACCAGCAGATTTGGTACTTTTTCCCAATGCCATGACGACATTCCTGGTTCCACAACCTGGGACTTAATGCTCGGCAGGGAAGAATTCTACCATTGAACCAAACAATCCATAAAGAGTATCGGAGCCTTCTGTCCCACAAGATTTCAACAAATACTTGACCTCCAATAGATCAGTAAAAGAAGTAACGAGAGTGTACTTTCACTCATGGAGCAGACTCTTAGAATGTATCTACAACCCACAATGATTAACCACTGATCATGAAGTAGTCCCGGGCTGTGAACTTTACAGTGGAGTTAATCATTACATCAGTTGCACCACTTAGTTGTTGTAGTTGTAGGATGTAGTGAGGAAAGTTCTTGTAGTTTTTTTTTTAACTACATTTAATTACTGACTTCTGGATGTTTATTTTTTTCTTTGTTTCTTCTTTGTTTTTATAACAAAAGTACTTCCTATTGTCTAAAACCCAGTGCTTTGTGACCATAACAGTGAGCGAAACATAAGTTATGTAATTCATATCTAGGGTTAGGAGTTGTTATAAACCTTATGAAGTTATCTTAAAATGGCAACAGTATCTTTGGTAAAGAGATAAGAACCTTTGGTACGAACTGGTTGGTAAAGAGATAAGAACCTTTGGTACAAACTGGTTTTTTGGCATTCTCCATAGAACTGTTTTTTTTTTGGTTTTTTTTGTGCCGCTTATCTGACTCTTAATCCGAACCGCCTATAAGTAACTGAGCTGGAAGGTTTTTTTTATATATATTCCTCCTTTCTTGTACACTGGCCAGCTTCATGCCTTATATTTATCAGACTAAGACTCAATGTGGGGGGCTGCAGGCTGAGAAAATAGACATAAAGATCAGGAAGAGAATGGTGAAGTCGAAGACTGCAGCTGAAAATAGGCAAATGTGTGGCGCTATAAATGTCATTTTGAAGCCATATTATTTATATCCATATGAACGATGTCTTATTTCGGAGCGCATGTGAAAATGCAGCGTATGCGGACGTAGAGATTTGTTTTGGTACGTTGATTTATCTCGATCGATCGTGATTAATTTACAGCTACCCTGTGATTAATCAGTTTAAAACCTAATTGTTTTACTGCCCTGACTCATTGGTTTGGTTTATGCCAAGGTCCTCTAACTCCAGGCCTAAGGGGAAACTTCCTATTCCTTCCTATCTTTTATTTAAGAGAACAGGGTCTACCTGAGTAGCCTCTTGACCACTTCTCAATCCACAGCTCTTCTTCCTTCGTTCTGCTGGACCATTGATTTCTGCCGTGTGGCCCCCTCTCCAACTGTCACCCGGGGAGACTTTGGCACTGGACAGGCTAAGACAAAAGAGACTTTTATTATCTTAAGTCTTAACACTTGATTTATTCCTTAAGCTAAGCTATTGAATTATTATTTATTTAAATTCATTTTGCTGTTGTAATGCTGTTGTAATGCTCTACTTTTCGGGAATTGTTAAAGGCATTGACGTCTACTCACCTTTGACTTGGGCTCTTAGAGCCGTGCTTCTTCTTGTGTCCCTGAACATAGGATGCTAAATCTGGAAACAGACGAAGAGGAAAGCATTTTTTGTAATGGTGAACATTCAAGCTAATATTCTGTCAACATTGCCTTTTAAGTATGTCTTTATAAGCGATTGCTCAATCCGACACGCGGGATTGATAGCGGACCTGTCGGTGTTGGTCAAAAATTTAGGATACCTATACCTAAGCCCAAATGCTCGACTTAACATTGTGCGACAAGTTGCACTATTGCTGTCAGACATAAAAAAGTTATATCGAGCCATCTCTAATCATTATAACATTTTTTTGTGGAATTTAATAAAGAGGAAGTGCAAAACTTTCCACTGGTTTTAAATTCCACAGACATACAGTGCTAAATTAAACCCAGCATACGCAAATATATTTTATGTCTAATTTTTTTCCTCTATTTTTAAATTTAATTTCATAATGGCTACTCACAACATAGGCTCTGTTGTTTTAACTTATTAGTAAATGATGCTTATATAAAAAGATATCCCAAACAGAAGCCGATGCTTACGGGTAAATGCAGTTGCATTTTAAACCACATTCTGTATAAAACAGTTTTAACTACATGCTCAACGTTATTGCAACACTCCAGGCTTTACAGCCCTGTATTTTGGTGTGAAGTATGTGCCAGCTCAGCCCAGCACATGACCTGGCAAATATAGCTGTGAAATATGAGGATTTGAGACACACTTGGCCGTTCCTAGGGACCGCCAAAAATAAATGCTGGTTAGGTTGTAATGGTAAGCGTGTAGTTCAAGCTTGGTCCAGAGCTGCTGTCTGTGGGGTCTGCCTCTGCTCCTGCTAACACAGAATGCGTTAGCCATGACGTAAATTTATCTCACCTTCCTCTTGACTGGAGGCATCTGAGCAGTCGCCCTGGTACGCCTTTCCAAGCTGAGAACTGCCTGTGAGAAAAATAATAATAACATAAAAATAATAGAACAGTTGAACAGTCTTGGGCAATTATATTTAAAGTAATCAGTAAAATAAATTTGTGAAATATACTGATTTAAATTATAATTTTGGACATGATCCTACCAGATCATTACTGCTTAGTTCATTAAATGTAAGAAAAATGCAGGGAAAAATATAGCACCCGCTAATTGCTTACTTTGAGCAAAGGTTAGTAACAGCTTGACACACAATAAATTCACCTCCTGAGGAAGACTATAAAACAGCTAACAGTAATTTAAATCACCTTTTTTTTTTACAAGCTCGAGTAGATCAGTCTAGGTCTGTTACTTACATCTGCAGGAAGTAGGTTTCACAGAATAACTGGAGTCACAGTTGAAGAAGCTGCACACTTTCCTTGTCTGTCTGAAGACAGGAGGAGCAGACAGGAATCTTTCCCTGGGAAAACACATTCGAAAAAAAAAAAAAAAAGTATTAAACCAGTGGTTTTCAAAATGTTGGCCACCAAGGGGCGCTAGTAATGCAACAAAATCCAATTATTTATTTTTTAATAACCATGTGTCCTCAACTGTAAATTAAAACTACCATAATCGTCAAATTCTCAAGTTACCAACGGTACCTGAACGCACCTCACGTGACAGCTGCAACAAATGTAATAATTATAGAGTAGGGAATAAAAGTAAGAAAACACATTCTAAAAGATGATTTTTCTTTACATATTTTGTAGCATTGTTTGTAGATTCGCAAAAAAGGGGGTCCCTGGCCAGATGCTAAAGATATTATATTATGTTAAAACAACAAACACACAAAGACACAGAAAGGCACAACATAGAAACCCAACAGCCACAATGATGCAGTGCAGCTGGGATGTGGGATGGGCCACTGACGTAGAGTTGTTCCTAAGTTTCATTTTGCACAAAGAGAAACTGATGGGTATATGTGTGTGTGCGCGCTCATGTCTTGGCAGGGTGAAGAGGGGGAGAAGGAGGGGGGCAGCAGGAGAGAAAATAAAAAATAAAATATATAAAAAAATAGGGGTTTCACAGCGTGGCCTGCTCTTGTAGTTTAACCTATTTCAACAATGTCAGCTGTAAAAAAAAAAAAAAAGAGTCACTGGTTGTTTTTGGATACAGGGTGAATGTCACCTCATGAGGATGTCATGACCTCTAAAAACATTTGTCAATGACTGCTCATTTAAATGACACTATACACAAGGGAAGGACAGTAGCTGCATGTTTAAAAAAAAAAGCGAGGTTTGAGTCATTATGAAAAGAAAAGTGTGGACTCATTCAATAGTGATTGGCCTAAATTCCTGACACATTAATATTCCACAACACAATACCTGAGGTTCTTCTCCACCTCCTTGTTCTTGTACTGGTCCCCCTGGTTGAGAAGCCTAAGGATGCCCTTCTCAAAACTATCATTACATTGATCCTTAGGAAGCTGTGGAGAGAGAAGTAAAAAAAAAATTAAAAAATATTGTATAATTAAAATTTAATTAGAAAACATATGTAGAACTTTCTGAACTAGTTTACCAGGGGATCCTCGTCTTATGTTGGAATTCCGTACTGACACATAACTCACATAGTGTACTTAAGTACCTATGTCCCTCACCGACGCTAACACTGCGGTAACGTCCTAATCTAGGACATAAAAACATCAGCAGAGTCTGACTCATGCCTGGGAGGTGAAGGGCAAAAAGTTCCCAAAATAACAACACAAATGAAAGAAAGGGAACGTATCACAAGCCAATGTATGCTGTACAAACTGCTAACGTAAACTAAGAATACGGACGAGAAATTCTCAATAAATGTTTAGGGCTGCTCGATCGTGGCAAAAATCCTAATCACGATTATTTGGATTTTTATTGAGATCACTGTGTACAATTATTTTATTTCAATTGTCTTGTTTTCGTGATCGTGGGAAGCCAAAATTGTAATCGTAATAAAATTTCAATTAAGTGCCCAGCCCTAATAAACGTATGGGACATGGGGACGTAACCACAAAACGTCGTAGGTCGAGGACGTCCTAAACCAAGGGCCCCCTGTACTTTGGAAAACAATCTCTTCTAAAGGTTTAATTATTAACATCAACTTGTAACATATGTCAATCTTTTTTAAAAAGAATACAAACAAAAGACCGAGTGTAGCAGAGTGATGAAAAAAGGTTTTGTCAACCAGATCTGATGGTTCCTCTTTTCAAATGACAAAATAAAGTTGCCCTTTGCTGAAGTTACTGAATGAACTGGTATGTTTTAACCGAGAGCTGAATACCTTGAGGAGGAAGTTTTCTAGTTCCAGGTGGGTTTTGGTCACACTTGTAGAAGAAGAGTCTGACCATTTCACCTGAAACAGAACACAACAGACAAGGTCTCGTTCGCTGACAGAACAACAGTGAAACAGGCCTGACGACAAAGGTCAATACCGAGGCATGACTGTCTGTGTCCCGTAAATGATAAGATGAGGTGGGAAGGACAGAGTCCTACTGTAGTAGGAGGTCAGATAAACCACTGTTGCAACGGCGGTCAAATCATAGACAGTTAAAAATAGCAGACTGTGCCTCATCAGGCAACAACTGATTGATAACACATTACTTTTAAAGATAGCAAATCTTAAATACTTAGGCAAATGCTCCATGGGTAGACAATGATAATCTGTGTGTACTGGAAACCTATAGATCAGGAGTGTCACTGTTTTGGCTTGGGAGCTACTATTCAAATGGCCAGGCTAAAGTGATCTAGTGTGGGGTGTATGCCAGGCAGTAGTAGCCCCCGGTATAGATGATGCGAGTGTGGCTGGGTTGACAAAGGGCTCAGTGAAGGCATCGTAACCATTTCTCTTCTCTCTTATCTGTCTGTTCCGCTGTTTTAACAAGTGCTGAGTAACGCACATCAAGTTGATGTTGGTATATCATAATTAGGTCTAAGTGGGTGGATGCAGTTACTGGTTAACAAGTGCTGAGTAACGCACATCAAGCTGATGTTGGTGTATCATAATTAGGTGTAAGTGACCAACTGGGATTTCAGGCACCTGGACGTTACCTTAAAGTTGTACTCCTTGTCCATTCCGGTCCCATTGATGCCCTTGAGCACGATTCCTTCAATATGCACGGCTGCAACAACAGGGAAGACGATTTAGTTTTTCTCAGGATGATATGGATACAAAGATAAAACCAAGTCTGTGTCATCCGTGATTCACAGACTGGAGTGTTATGAATCGTTCTCTGTACACGCTCTAGTAGAGTCAGCTGAGCTTTTAGCTCCAGCTGACTCCATCCACCCTGACGCTATTCAGACCACTTTTAGCGTTTTAGTCAATGGTGGAAAATTACTGAAGTCTTTATTTTGAACATTAAAAAAAAAAGAAAAAAATGACCCAGACTGATTTAGACAGATATGTTAGGTCCAAAGTAAAAAGCTGCAGGTTGCTCTCTGGTTGTGGCTCGTAAAAAAACACAATATTACAGCATAAAATGTGTAATGTATCTGAAAGTATTCTATTTGGCTAACTTATTACTTAATACTTAAATATTGGATTAAACCTAAGCAAAGAACCGTATCATAAAATGCTTCAATAGCATCACAAAATAATACAAATGACATTATAAACACAATTCACCTTCTCTTTGTGTTGTCCAGTGGCTGGAGTGACAGCTCTGAGAAGCCGTATGTGATGCTGTACACTCTCCCAATCCTTGGGCTGGGGAAGGCAAATAATCAACATTCTGATTTGTGAGCTCCTGTGAATAAAAATACAAATAAAAGTACATGAAATCCGACAACACTTCGTAGTACTAGTATAGTAGTAGTTCCACCAACACTTAGTTGGGATCTTGCATAAGAAAACCCTAAAACAGTGATCATCAACCTGCGGCCCGCAGGCCGAATGTGTCTGTCCAGAAGAAAATCTGGCCTTCCAACAAATATAGGTCGTGACCCCTACCCTAAAAGTTACATTTGCATAACTGGACCTAATAATGACATCACAAAACATAACCAAACACCAGTAACGAGCATGTGTGATTGTCCTGCCCCTGTGTCTTTCACTGAATTCGACCATCACCCAGACACAGAGCAGGAACATGAAACATATTGTAGTATTATTGCATTAAAAACAGGGCATTCTCACCAGGCCGGGGTCCTGGCTCATAATATTGTCAGAGTGATTAAATCATGTAGAATTACAAGCACTCGTAGCGTGTCGAAAAAACGTAAAGTTAGCAGACTTGATATATTTTGCAGTACATCTACGATTACCACAGTGATAATTTAACAGTGCTTAACCTCGTTGTCATCAATGTAAAGTTTTTTATATTTTTAAATACTCCCTTATTGTGGTATGAATGGACTGAATGATCCTCTTATTTTTAATTATTTTAACCAGAATATTACTTTAATCAGCATATAAACATATCTGAGCTGGTGTTTATCTTGACTGATGGCTGCGATCATATCTCTGTCAAAATGGGTCACAAGCCAAAAAATGGTGACAACAGTACACCAGTTTTATTTTTCGTACCTTTGTTTATGTAATTTTAACACCTTATTTTTAAGAGACAGGGATCTTGAGCACAAGGAATCGTATAAAATTTTAGTTCACTTATTAAGGCCAGCTGGCATCTTAATAAACACTGCTAGTTTGTCTGCAGGGTGTTCTTCTCTACAGGTTTCAGTGAGGATCTGATGCACTGCTCTGATTATTTTCTGTGGTGTGGAAAACGTTACACGATGATCATAACACGGTATCACATTAGACATGGGCAAAAGCAGGTGTACCGTTTCAGTAGCGAGTTTTAAAACCCTAACATAATCTCGAGGGAGAAACCTGTGGATGTGGGAGTATGTAACAATGCTGTTGAAAAAGGTTCAGTTAAACAAACTGCAGAGAAACATGTAACCCTGCCTCCAAAATGAAAAGACCCAGCTGCGTATTTGCAGATAGCAAAGATAACAGATTTTCAAAACTGTATATTTAATTCAGATCTAAACTGAGTTTCACTCAAACAACTTCACGCTTCAAAACTGTATATTTAATTCAGATCTGAAACAACTTCACGTTTGAAAAACATTATGAGAAATTTGGTCTTATTATCCACGTTATCCATCATGAAAAACATTATGAGAAATTTGGTCTTGCTGTTATCCATCAAAATCATTATTTACCACAACAAACTGCATTCACTGAACAACGACATCACAAGTATTTTCAGATCAATCTTTTATTTCTGACTCAGAGATGTTAATCTGATTGGCTGGAGCTAAGTTTTATTCTTTCTAGGTCAGACTTTAGCCCCCATGTGGAAGAGGTGGGCGGAGCACGCAGTGGCTTGTCACCATTTAAAGGTAAAGGCCCAGAAACTGTTACTAACTTTTCATTTACACATCAAGCCCCCTATTAATTATCATAAAGATAGCAAAAGAAAACCCTGGGTTTTACTAACTTTTCATTTACACATCAAGCAATTCATTATCATAAAGATAGCAAAAGAAAAACCTGGGTAAAATTTAGCCCACTGTCTGTATTGTTTTCTTTAATTATTATTTAAGTATTGTTTAATTAGTTGCAATACAGCCATGATACATTTACTACTACTGATATACTAACAGTATCATTGACACAACTCTATATTGTGTATGTGTTGTGGGGACAAGGTAATTTTAACTTTGTAATGTCAAATAAATGGTATATACACTTTGTAACATGTTCATAATTACAAGAGCAATTTTTATTTTCATGAATAAGTAGAGGTTATATAAGTTACTTCTATGTATTTCTATTATTATATTAAAGAGATAAATGCATGTTTATTGTCTTTTCGTGTCTTTAAAGTAACTTATTTTTTCATTTAATTTCAGTATTTAAGCTTTTAAATATATCTATATATTTTATTGTCTTGTTTTATTTTATTTTTGGTCCTATACATTACAAATATCTTTTCTGTACTGGAGGGTTTTTTAACGAATAATATGCTTCATAAAGATGGGTGTGAGTGCTGACAGTTGTAACCCCTACATCTTTTGAATGGTTGCTAACTGTTAGCATGGACAAATACTCATTCAAACGGCAGTTTTACTCATTTTACACAATATAGTTTGTTTAACACTGGATATTAATATGTGAGATTAAAGGGCAATGTGTATTGTGTTTGTACAATTACTTATTTTTGTCCTTGGTCAGCTAGGCTAAAGGCTCAACGCCCCCTCCCAGTACTTCAACCCTTGAACAAAAGTTGTTAAGCTAAACTTAAGGTAGCATTACAGCGAATAATCCTTCATCTTTTTTTGTTACATTACCGTGGTCTGGTCGTTTATCCTGAGCTGACGTTGAAGTCTATCTTCTATAGCCAGCTCTATTTTATCCAGCTGAGCTCGAAGCGTCTCTCGTTGGTGGAAGTGAAAAGCTGGGTGTAGAGAGGCCATAGTAAAAAGCAGAGCTAGCTGCTCTAGTGGTTCCGTCGCTGTGTCTGCCGCGGACGAGCCGCACGGTTGCTCTGGCCGCCCGTACACCCCGTCTTGACACGCTTGGTGGAACGGGTGGTGGTGGTGGGGACTCCTGAATGGAAAAAGGCTGTAGAACATGGCCGGATCTAAACGGTTTAGTATCCCAAAGAGTATTCCAGCACACTCCCTGCTATCAGAGCCGAGGAGTGACAGGCAAACTAGGAGTTTGGACCTCACCACTTGGTCGATTACGTCCGTTAAAACTCCCAAATCGCTGGGATTGTTTGCCCGGAACTCAAAATCTCGTAAAACATGATAATCTTTTCTAGCGAGGTCCTCCAAGTAAGATCCCAAAAAGCGGAGTTCCAGGGGTTGGCACATATGTAAGAGCCCACACATGAACTCGATCCGCCTAGCGGGGTTTAGATGAAGGCCGAACCACTCAAAAACTGTCTCCTTGTCCAAATGCGATGGGGAGACCGGCGACTCTTCCAGTCTGTCGGACACAGAGGAGGGAGATATCGCCCTGGGAATATGTCTGTGCTCCAGTGGATCCAGTGAATCGTCCTCGGCCGTCTCGTCCCCTCCTTCCTCGCCCGTTTTCAGCCGTAGTTTCATTTTCAGCATTATCAGCGATGCGAGAGAGGCTCTAAAATATAAATGACGGGGTAGTAATCATAATTCAAAACTTACGCTATTTTTACTGCAGAAAAAGAGCCGAACTGTCAGTCGTTTCACGATGCACTCACTGTTAGATAATTACCGAGACGACGGTACTGTTGCTTTTCACCCTAACATACCCACTTCTTCTCTGTCCCATTTCCGGCCGAGGCGGTCAGCACCAGGCTGCACTCTGCTGCCACCGTGCGACGTCATCGTGTCCTATTAAAACTACAACCAGTCGAAGGCGAGGCCATTTAAAATGGTTACTATCCACTTATACGTCATCTGCTGGTTAGAAAAAAACAATACGAAGGAAGCTGGAGCTATTCCAGCTTGAATCAAGCGAGGGTGGAGTACATCCTGGAAAGACCATCAGCTAGACAGAGAGTAATGAATAAATACCTCTCTGTTCCCCGCGATCCTGACATTTATCTGTTTTATTAGATTATCTGGGGCTACATGGCTGTTCTCTGGGTGTGAATGCACACACACACGCAAACAGATATATACATACAAACACACACACACACTTTAACATTATATATATATATTATTACAAAAATTAAACACTTAAAATTAACAGTTTGGCCATAGACGATCTTTGCACTTTCTTTCGGTGAGGAAACAGTGGCCTCTTGAGTACAAGAGAGACAATTACAGAAAGACACCTTTATTAAGAATGAAACATATATGCCTTTTGTTATTCCAAAAATAATACTGTAATGTAATACTCATTTTAAAGTATCAACATCAACCATGTCACTAAGATTTGTCCTATTGTGAGGTGCCAGCAGGGGGCAATATAAGCTCAGTTTCTGACTTCACACTTCATCAAGCCCTCTGTATTTTTCAGGAGATATCCACCTCACGTTTGTACTTTTACAGTGATAGCTATATTTTAAAATGTATCCACGACCTTTGGAGTACTTCCGAAGTAATAATTGAGACCCAAATAATTCCGTCTCAATTATTTAAAATATTAGCCTCTACCGCCCATCCATCTATTCTATTCTAATCTAATCTCAATCTAATCTATTCTCAACTGGCCCAAGTATAAAACAAAAATATATATATTTTTTACAACTTATTTGCGGTCGTCACAGTTACAACGTTTCACCGGAAACTTCATCTTACAACAGCTACAGGTTACCTGGATTTACTCAATTACTTCTAATTTACTTAGACAGGTTCTATGTCTTTACTTTCATAACACCCTTATTGGTGGTAAGTAATATCACAAACATTATAAGGAACACAAATCCTTTTAATTAAGCTTTTTAATTTTAAAAAAAAATTATAATAATTTTGAGACGTAAAACATCTAAAATAAACACACATTTCGACTACTCGGTCAGTCCAAAATTAGCGTGTGTGTGTGAGTGCGCGCGCGCGCCATGCTGTTCTCTGCCGTTTTGCATTTTGTGGTAAAGTTCAGCCATGATTTATAAAGGCTGCCCTGACACTCCCACTGCTCCCTATGCCAACCACAGGGAGGACTGTCACTACCAAGTCAGGACCTGAGTCTTCACGTTCCCTCCTCGCACTGTGGCATTCATCACCGGCTCCTTGTAGCTGCAGCATAAAGGTAAGGCCTTGACATCAATTTCATGATGCACGTGTTATTGTGTGGTGAATAAGGCCGTCATAAGTTGTCTAAGATCACTGCGCAATTTGGGGTTACGGTTAAATGGTGTAACCGCTTGTAGTGATATAGTTATAAAGTATTATACAACAACTTGACTTAGTGCATTCGTGCATTTTGTTTTATATCTTTTTTATAGCTTCTTAATCACAATCATATTTCCCTGTAAACATGCATCTCTATATATAGGAGCCACCGTTTTTTTCCCCCCCTTTTCTTTTCCATCATACCGGGGCATGTTTTTGGTTTGACCGCAAGTGACCGGCCAAAGGGACAATAAGAAGTCAAGCTAAATACACACTACTGTAAAACTGAGTACATACATCACCCTCTGTGATTATGGATCAGCAAGGTTCACTTGGAAACTCGTAGTTTTTGCATGTTGAGTTGAGTTCGACGTCTGTCTCCTGTTCTATGTTTAACAGCACAGTGAAGTGGAAATTGTGATAAACACTTGTTTTTTTGAGGACCAGGAATGTATAAAGTTTTAGAGTAGTTACAATCTGCATGAAGTTATTCACTTTTTTAAAAAACAAAAATTACTATTATTTTAAACTGGAAAAAACGAATCACAGGACACATGGATTAATCATGACTAATCACGATTAATTGTGATGAATTCATTCCCAAATATGAAAAAAAAGAAGTGTGTTGCTGAAAGAGACAGACAAAAAAACAACAGGTTAATATATTTTTCCCACCTGTTTTTATTTGTGACTAATCCAAATTATGGAATTAATAATGTAAAAAAAAAAAAATTGTGCAAAAGTACCGGTATGATTAAATTCTGCTTCACAGAGTCAGGGGATTTTACTCATGACGATACATCTTTAGAATGGTTTGCAGAATGAGTTTAGGAAGTTGCTCCTAAAACTTTAGTAGAAACATGGTCCTCAACTATATCGATCAGTCCACAGTCCCTTCGCAATCTATTTGGTTGTTGTTTCTGTCAGCAGACGCCTCTGTGAATGCATGCTCGACATTGACATGGTTATTCCAAGCTTTGGTGAAATTGAATATTTTTCTGCAGTGTGTCTAAAGGAATATGTGTATTGACTGTGTATAAGGGCAATGATATTAAATGAGTGGATGGATGGTGACATTGTTGGATATCCAGTGTGCATCACTCAGTTTAGTTTATAAAGAGCTAGTAATAACAGTTAGCCTTGCTTTTATGCAATTTGTCGGAGTTGTAACTTACATACTTATACATGTGTACATTAAAATACACATCTTCATATCACATATGCACACAACATATGTGATATAAAGATGTGTATTTTAATATTTTCAGTTGGGTCTTTAAAATAGCTTCAACTTATAAAAGGGTCAAAAGTGTTTTGTTTTTTTTCATTTTATTTCATAAATGCCTTTCATATATAGACTCTTCCTTCAGTGTATCTTAGTGTCATTGCAAGGCCATTTCTTACATTTGTCTTATTTTCTTCACTTTTAGCTACAATCTAATGCAATGTATTTATTTTCTGGTCTAGTTATATTTATTTATATCCCTGAGTCTTTGAATTGCGATTTCGTACCATATCATGTTTAACTAGTGTGGTCTGACGGTAAAAAGATCCTTGAATTGCTGCATGCATTTCATAAGCAAACATCTAAATATATAGTAAACAACCTGGTCATTTGAATAGTAGCTCACAAGCCAAAAAAAGTGTGGGCACCCTTGCCATACGTCATTAGAATTGAAGTTAGAAACGCTATCGCTAATTTACGTAGCTTGAGCTATAATGCGTACATCCATATAAACGTTTAAATACTTTGTTTATTTGACATTTTAGGGGCTACTTTGAGATTTTAACACAGCATACTTCCTGTTCTCAGAAGGTTGAATGCACACAAAACATGATCTTATCTACTATCTTGAGCATCAGCCGTTAGCGTGTTCAGGACATGCTACGTGCCGGTGATGAAACACGGCCGTACTGTAAACTGTGTTTCATGAACTAAGTAAGGCGCTGAGCAATCCCAACATCTGTGCACAAGGAATGTTCTGTGATGCTCGAGCCAGTGAAGGCGGGCGGTGCGGTTGGTTCACTGCAGTACTGGTTTGCCAAAAGTAGAGTGAGGTTTGGAGGAATCAAGATTCACTGCCCACCTATCCACAGTGCGTATCTGTAATGACTGACGTGCTTTAATATAAAAGCAGTAAAGCAGTGAGAAGAGCCTGTGTAGTGTGTCACAGGAAATACTTTTTTTTTTTAAAGTGTGTTTGTGCATTTTTTTAAGGTTTGCAACTGTGACATTTTTAGAAAGAGTAAAACACACGGACCATTACACAGTGGCACTCGGTCTCCGTGTTATTATGTGGCCCAACAGATGCAACTCTTGACTCCTGTTGCGTCTTTTTTGGAAAATGACTCTCATGTAGCCCTGGGTGTTATTATATCTGCCAAGGTGGTTATTTATTCAGTCTCGTCTGTCTTTCTGTCTGAGTCCGTCTGTTGAATACTAACCAGAAAGATGCGAACACATTTTTTCTGCAGAGGAAGAATATGTCATGACGCGTTCTCTTCTGCCACAGAGTTACTGTCATACAGCAGAAGGTCACCGTTTATACTAGTTACCGACACTGAGCTTTATTTAGGTGTCCTTAAAAGTACACCTACATATATGTATTACTTCAAATTTCCCTAAATGTGTCCTAAGATAACATATTCTCTATTTTATTGGACAACGTGATTGGTTGACACTGTTGGACAATTTTAGTCTGCAACAAATGCTCATTTTCTTGCAGATTTTCTTCATCAACCAATTAAGCAAAATTACTACTACTGGTTGCAGAATCTCAACTGTGAGCTAATTTCTGTGTAAATATCTGCCTGCCATAACTGTTGGAAGATAAGGTGGAAGGCGGAGACGTTTGTATATGTTATCAATGCTTTACGTTGGAGCTCACATACTGTACATAAGAAGAACTGAACAGGAACCAGTGAGACTTTTACAGATGGACAAAGAGAGTTAAAAGTGAGAGGTGTATATTTTTACGTATGCAATAGGGCAAGACATGGGTGGAACCCATGAGGTAATCTGAAGTGACATGAGGGAGAAGTGAAGCAGACATGACAGTAGTTGGGTTAAATGAGTTGCTATGGTGAAAACCTTTTAATCTAACTATTTCCCATTAGCCTTTTGCGCTAATGTTTTTCTCGACTCTTCAGTTCATCAGTTGCTTTATTGTTATTTTAGCTTCTCCCAGACACATTTCAGGGCATTGGTCATTTTTAGTACATTGTGTTTGTGGCGCCCCCTAAATTGGCTACAGTTGGCACAATTAATAATTTGAAAATATTGAAGAGATTTACATACAATTATATACTCTGGCATAAATCATAATTTCATGGAAAGGAGTACGTTACGTTGAGATCACATGATGATTCGAGTATAAATGAATGGATTTGAAGCTTTTTCCACACAGAAGCCAAAGTTTGTGAACAAAATCATCATATTTGACAACCTATATAACGACAGCTGGCATATTGTTCCCATATGGGCTACATACATATGTGGATGGGGACTGAGTGCTTGGCAATGTCATGTATTCATTTGGCAACCTTTTGATGCAAGCAGCAATAGAGAAACAGCTTTAAACTATAATATTAAGCTTCAAGAGAATCGCACAACCTACACTTTGTAAGACAACCAGTGTTTAGGGGGCTACAGTGGCACAGTGGGAGGACCCCTGCCTGCCACTGGAAGATCTGGGATTTGTTACCACTTAGTCCCCATATTCCAAAGAAAAAGTAAAAAAAAAAATCCTTGATAAAATATGGATTATACTCAGAATCCATCCCACAACCTAGACAACAAGTGATTCAGGTATTTAACTATTGGTACATGTCGATATGATTTTGTGGGAAGTGGGAAAGTTTTCTGAATACTTGTTTTAATTTTCGGTAAAGTTTGCTAGTATTGTTGTTTCTGGTGAGAAACAAAACATTTCAATGTGGTTCTTCAGTCCGAAAAAAGCTGCAGATTAAATACGTAGAGAGGATGATGGTAACATGAGCCTGGGAGAAGACTGAAAGAGAAGCCACGGTAGCTAAAGTCTCTGCTGCTCACTGTTCCTCCCATGTCTTTAAAGCCCGTGCCAGTACACTCGCCCTTTCTACCATGTTTGCATTTCTCCCTTCCCATCCCGGCGTAAAGCTCGGCGCTTGGTTTTATTTTTCCCGGCCCATCCTTGTGGTTGCTGGAACCGTGATGCTAAACGAACGCTGTGTCATGTGCTATAGTACGTGGGCTAGTGAGAGCGCTACTGTTTTAAAAAGAGAACAAGAATGACAAATGGACTTCGTTAGGTTTAGTTTTTGCGACTATTTCAGAAATAGCATATGTGCCTAACCTTACCACAAGTCCAGTTATGTATTGGTGCCAAACATTATTTCTAGCCTAAATATCTGTGATTATTACAACTCCGCTGTTGTAATAGGTTTATGTCTAACACTAGCTTCAAATTATATGGTTGAGTTTCATACCGCAAAGGCAGGCTGAATAAGCATGTACATTTTAAATCGCCTGAGGTCAACTAGGAATGTCCCTGGATCAGTAAGGTCATACTGTAGATCAGGGGTGTCAAACTCAAATTCACAGTGGGCCAAAATTAAAAACTGGGACAAAGTCACA